ATCACGTAAAACCAGGAGAGGAAAAGATGATCAGTTATGAACTGTTCACCTCTTTATTGGGATTGCCATTACTCTGTGTTTGTAAGACGGCACGAAGCTTATTGGGCACAGTTCATTTGCAAAACTCTGAGTGGGGGTCTGACATACTTTTGAGAGCACCAGGAGAAGAGGTCGTAACAATCCAAGCCTTACCTGTCCTGACCGAAAGGAATAGCCACGGATCTTCCACAACGCTCTTCTATGCTACAGTCTCAGAGTGTGGAGTTTCCCATGAAAAATTAAAAGCAATCTGCTAATATGAATCGGATTACAGCAGATATAGTACACGATACCCATATCCCACTGTAGTCATCCTCTCGAATGGCGGTTAAAGCTTGGGGGTGATTCATTGGTTTAGGAAAGGCTCGTACCACAACCTGACTGCTTTTTTCATGGCCCTTCGCTGAACCTATTCACGGATAGCAAAGTTCTTATTCATGTAAGTGTATTTGGCAGGAAAGTTTTCCCACGAGTAAAAAAATTGTATACTCCATAAGCTGTTCCGAAAAGAACTATCTCTCTAAAGTTTAGAAGAGAAACCACAGCAGTTGAAATAATTGGTCAGTAGATAGAGATGATTTGCAGAATCTCTAAGTGTGTAGCAGAAGATGAACTTTAAGGTCTCCTTCCGCTTTAGAATGTGAAATTTCTACTTATACTAAACAGTAGAAACCAGATTTATACTTATACCTACCAAAATTCATTTTCTTACACCCGACAGTTGAGAAGGAGCAGGTTTCATTTGATCTAACTCCGGACTTTGGGTAGGTCTTACTGGTTCATAGAACTAGATGCCATGTTTATAGACTTCAGTAACAGATTCGATAAAGTATCCCATGTGAACTTACTACGGAAGCTCCCTTCTTTCATGTTCGGTGCTGCATCTCAAGACTGGATTGGTGACATTCTCCACGACAGAAGGTGAATAGTGAGGGTCAGTAGGATACTACCTGGGTGGAAGCCTGTGATAGGGGAATTCTTCGAGAAAAAATCCTCGGTCCCGCACATTTTTATTGCATGTCAACGAATTACTATAAATGCCTAACTCTAATCTGCTGCTTTTTACCAACGGTGTAAAAGTTTGGGGAGCCAGGCTTAGTGATGCTGATAAGTATGCACCTCGAGCAAATTTGGATGAAGTGGTAGGTTGGTTCAAATGTTGGTGCATGGTAGCCAACCACAGGTAAGGTATGGTGGCGCACATTGTTCGTAGCAATTGTTTCTGGTATTCAACCGACGTTACGCCACTACTTTGAACTGAAAGACCGGTGGAAAGGCGTGTTATCGGAGAAAAGGTGGATATGAGCAATACCGAACGTTTCATTCACCTGTTTCTTGTACACATTCACTCTTTACATTCTCCCCTGCCTCTTAGGGTTCGCTAAGGGTGTATTTATGGAGGCATTAGGTCATCTGCTGTCACTACGAGAAGGGTTGCGACTAGACGCAGATTTTTTTACCTAATAGGTGTGCATAGTTGTACTGTCTTCTGAGTCCCATAAGTCACCTACCTCCTACCCAAAATGGCGGAGTGTCGCGTTTCCACCTCACAGTTGCTCCTCAGAGTTGAAGGTTGCCGGTGTCCAGACGACCTTCCAGGAGGGGGATAACCTGTAGCACCAAAATAGCGCTTGGATTAAGATAAATAAACAGCATTGAAAATGTGTAGATAAAAGCCGAACAACTCTTCGTGACGTCGACGGATGACTTTAGTTATCTTAGTTTCTTTTACCGTATACGCGCCCGCCCGTTGACATCCACCATTTTGCTTTCCCCTTGTACTGGTTAACAGGTACGTTCCCAAAGTCCGTAGCTCAGAATTATTGGGGAGATATGTTGAATAAACTTTGTCCTAAAAAGCTGCCTGGACCTCTGTTCTGTTGCAATATATTGCTACTTCGACTATATTCCAAAACACCTCAGTCCCTTTGATCCGTGTTTTTTGTCAGTTCTTACACGTTAGGCAGGGTACTGATTGAGTGGATGCTAGGGCACATCGCGTTCGCAAAAACTGGTTAAGCGTTGCATGATGTTGGCTAATCCGGTTTCCTGCAGAGCATTGTACTTCCACGAAAATGTTCACATCATCAGCGCGTAATAGCGACTGGGTATCCAGGGATGTAGGCAACACAAATATTATAGCAGTAAACAATAGGTAGTCAGCACTGAGGTTTAAGCACACCTTAGGGCATCGGAAATCGGCTACATTGCGGTGAATTAACTCTTACCTAAACCAACCGATGTTTAAGGTGATCCCTAAACCCCCTCAGCGAGTTTCCACACATGCCTACAAACTGAGTTCTCGCGCATGGATTGTCGTGACTGATCCTCTCAAACCCCGTTGGGGAGTCAAGTAGCCCAACTGAATTGAAACTTGTCATTCAACACAGGCAGTCCAGCTATTTCAGGATGGTACGTCCAAGTGAGTTGTACATATCCATGATGCAAATAGCAGAAACATAACTGAACTTGGGAGCTTTGTTGTGAAATATCCAGTGATTGCACCATGAGACATTCAATCAAGTACTGTTCTCGTTGCAATTCATGAGATTCTTTTGGAAGAGCAGATCTACTTGTAGCCTAGAGAATCTTCAGGAAATCAGACTCACACACTACAAGTACTACGTAAACATCTATCGTGCTGTCTTATCGCTTAGTATTTTGGCATTTAAGTCGACTAGCGTTGAACGACCAGTGATCAGGAATTTTATAAATACTGGTCACCGAGAAGTGAAATAAGTTATTGAAGTTTCTATCCTGCTGAATTTCAGTGGCTTACATGATCCATATTGTAGATGGCAATTATTCAGAAATGACCCTTCAGGCGAATAGTAGGAATGCACCCCATGTTGTAAAATTAGGATATATCTTGCCAAGTACTAGCAAGTGTAAACGGTGCCAGCGGTCAGCTTGAATCAGTGAAGTCTAAGTAATAGCACAGGTGATTTTAATCTTTACAATGACGTTTGCCATACATGCTGAAATAGAACAGAGCAAACTGTCACACGAATCTACGCGGGACAGTGGGTTTACACAACCAGGAAATATACCCGCTGACGAAAACAGCGTTAACTGTCACTTGACATTTAGAACCCCATAGTTTGGAGGTTCAATATACTATCTCTGAATTCACTAACAAACCGCCTCGAGAATTCCAGAACAAACTAGGTCAAGTGGCGGGAACAAGCACACACCAGCTTGACATTCGAGTTGCAGATGGTGTGGGCTAGATATGATTTAAGTTTCCCAGGAACACTGGGCTTACATTCTAGCAGTCTTCAAGAATTAGTGTCATAAAACCAATGGTTATGCCGACGATCTAAGCATCTCTCCAGCAGGTCTTCCGAGATATTCATCCCCGGAAGGCAGGTTGCTCAAAAACCAGAAACCAGTCCCAGCCGTAAATAAGGGCGGAAATAAACATTTCGCCTTTAAACATTGAACAATATCCCTGGTATCTTCATTTGAAAAGGTTATAAGAGTAGTAGGTGACCCACTGCGCGCCCGCATGCCTGCGAACTCAATCCTAATTAACAGTTAACACACGTTCTTACCTGTTAGGCTGAGTTGAGGTTGAGTTATTGATGGGCCGTAATAACAGAACCGTCTCTGCTGAACAGAAGCATCTCTTTTACAAGGAGCCACACTTCTGCTTTAGTGATAAAATTAGTAGTTATACACCTATCTGGTTTCGTCGTTTGTTGTTACCTGGTTGTCGTACATTTTCTATCGTCAGTATGACACAGTCTGTAAGCAATTGAGGGAGTTTAACGTCGCTTCACTTGATACTGGTGTCTCTTCTGCTACCAGTCTAGCACTAATGCAGGTCTGAACAACGCTGTCAACCAGTCATTTCGCTAGTTCGAACGAGGACTATGGAAACCTGTTACATGTGGAACATCTATGGTGTGATCGAATAGATTTTATTCTCATTAGCCGTAACCACCAGTCAGCTTTCTCCGGTCACTACATCCCCATATTCTCACCATCTTGAAATGCTCGTGAAAAGATTTTTCCGTATCCAATACCAACTCCTAGCTATTATATTTAATACAGCGCATGCACTAATGTGGTCTATGACCCCTGTCTCCCCAAATCCGATCGAAATGTTTTCTTGACTAATTTAGTCGTAATGTGGAACAATGAAAAATAATAAAGAAATTTTTAAGGACGAGGGATGAAATCGATACTACTGTTTGACACGAAATGTGTATCCATGCATACTGCTGGGTGAAAATCTCCCTACTACCGAAATTCAGCACTTTTTTTTAACAGTTTTTCAATATTTTGTTGCACTTTTTTCTTTACTTTTAATTTTAGTCAGTCATTTCAATTCGGAAACCTTTCATTGGTTTCAACAGATAGTTAGTTTTGCCCATGAGTTGGCACATAGTTGCACCTTCGGGCTTAAGCCAGAAACCTAACCTCGGAAGTCTTCCTCCAAGTGTTGCTCAAGGGAAGGTACGAACGAGAAACTATACCAACTAGTTCCTAATTATGATCCTTAGTCTGTGGAATTCCCCTGTCTTGAGAACCTGTCTTAGCGACTCCTATCAGTGGTTGTCAAAAAGGTTGTCTGATTTTAAATAAAGATAGAACGTAGTCAAGCATTTTTACTTCGTCTAACAGACCTTGGGTGGCAATATTGCAAGAAGCTGGCTGATTAAAGTTAATTAAGCCATTGTTATCGCTAGTTTCTTGAGGAGATAGGTGTGATGATTCCTAACGATATAAATACCTCGATATAGAGTCCGATGAGCGGTTGCTGAATGTTTTCGCAACAAGAGTTTATGTTTGGAGAAGGTTTATTCATCTTCCTTGATTCTGTCGAACTTAAAATATTCTAAGCTGCAAACTTCTTTATTTTCAGCGAAATGAGTCCAATTTCAAGTAAACTTCCTGACACATACGGTAAACATGAAAATCTTCTTAAGTCTTGTTTTACCGTGCTTCTTCTTCCAGTTTACATTGAGTTCGCAATTTGGATTTGCATTCTTTGATTGTTTCAAGTTCTTGTTGTCTGCTGGTTATAAGTAGTTGACTTCAGACTTTAAATTGTTAGTTTGTAGTTTTATATGTTGCGTGAAATGCTTGTTTTTTAATCGTAGACCATAATTTGTTCGATTGGTGTTTGTAAACTATATGTGCTGACGTCCTAACGTGGATTGATGAGTTTGTATATGAACACGAATTGAAACCCTACGGTTGTTTAGTGGTCTGAAAACCTCATGGATGAACAAACCTCTTCCCCACAAACTGTACTGCTTTGTGCTCATATGAAAACCAAGCATTCGCCAAACTGATCCTAATAATGTGCGCTGTTATGATATTTAAATTAGACAGTGTGTTATGCGGTTTATGAGCTGCAAAACCTTTAGGAGTCTGGCGCAACAATTCATAGGTGGTATCATGAGGAGTATGTTTTACTCTCTTATTGTACTTCGTTTCTGGTTGATGCATCATATCAGCGAAGTATTTAATTTCAGAAAGTATGGTCTCACATGCAACTTGTCTTCTGAGAAACGGTGTGGATCATTTTCTACCTATTTTCGAGGTTGCTGGTAATCCCTTTCGCGATGGATGTTGTACAGGGATCGAGGCAATTAGTGGATGGAAATTATTATGCTTTGGTCCTTTTTGTGATGGCTGTCTGGATTAGTCTGTTGTAGTTCATGAGCTGACCGTTATCATTGTATGCTGTTTCAAAGTGCAGGACTAACCTTTCGAGTTTGCTATCCCTTCATTTTTCTTTGTTTAAGTTATGGCTTATAAATATGGCAACTGTTTACTACTGGTAGATGTTCGTGGTAATCAGTCCCATGTATTCAACGTATTTCATTGCGGTAAATGCTTCGGTCTTCCCTTGGTTTCATAGAGTATCTTCTCTCAAAGTGTTCAGCACATAATGGCTGTGCCCATATCAATTAAGGGCGTTTAGTACAGGTTATATAGGGTGAAGTCAGTTTCATTTACGTTACATTACTGTTTCACTTCAATGCAGTTTCTCTTGCTTTTGTTCAGTTACCGAACAGTTCACACCACCCTCAGTAAAAATGCTCAGGCGTAGTCCGATGGATGTTTAAGGTAGTTACATTCTCTTTTATCCATAATTGCTTCAGTTTTGGCTAATGTTTCTTTAATGCTGAAACACTTGTTGACTGTTTATTTATTATGGTCTCACCCATATTTACCACTTTACAGCATACAAAGTAGAGTATCACAGTCTTTCGTTCCATCGTTTGTAACGTTCACAAATCCCACTCCAAGAGGTGCAATGTTTTGATTTCAACTGAGTACAATCAACCACTCATTGTTACTTTTTGTTCTCTGGTTGTAGGCTGTTTACCCTGGATAATTAAGTGATTTGACAGTGTTATTTATATCTTTCTGTCTACAAATCCTGGGGGACGGTCTAAATAGCTGTCTTGGACGATTGCTATGATAGTTTCGCAGCTAAACCAGCTGACATTAAATGTTGGCTTTGTAAACAAACATTAGTGGTCATTGTCTAACGATTGTTCACTGTTAAAGCTTGTAAACATTTTCACTTACGGTATTTACTCATATTTCTTTTGCAATTTAGATGTTTATGCGCCGGAGTAAATTCAAGCACGTTTTCGGCAAGCCATGCAAGAAAGAGTTTTGTTATGAAGATATACGAATAACCAAGAGTAGTTGGGATGCTCGATTTTGTGCTGTCAATCCTAAATACCTAGCCATTATCACTGAAGCTGCCGGTGGTGGTGCGTTTCTTGTCTTACCTATAGAAAAGGTGACTTTGTTTATGCCGATGACAACAGTTTTTAGTACATAATTGTCTAGTTTTACAGATCTTACTGATGGTTTGTTTACCAGCCAAAAGGTTTCGTAAACCTGATTCTTTCATTCATATCTAAGGGAATACATTAAGCTGAATTTTTAGATAACCTATTACTTGATGAAGAATACTTGAAGACTCTCTTAATTTATTATGATATTGCACGTCATATTGCTGCTTCACTGCAGATGGCTGCTACCCTGACATGATCGAGCTTGCATCCTAAAAGCTACACTAGTGAGGAAATCCGCTTCTCGGGTTCCTGTCTTGACAGAAAGGTTTGCTGGATACTGGTAAAACTAAAGGCAGTTATCGTCTTGGTGTAGACAGCTTCAGCCATGATGGAGATTGGAGGGGGGATTTGTATTGCTGGCTTAATAGGGTGTAATAGCAGCAAGGTGTCTCTTAAGGATAAGCAGCATGTCTACTGATGGTGCCTTGCTGGATGGAGTGGTTAGGAAAGGTCTGTGGTAAAAGTAGTGCACCTTTTCACCCCACAATCTCCCAGTACCGGAAAAATGGGTTTTCATAGTCGGGACGCAGTGTAGTCACAATTCGCTCACAAACTTCAAAATAGGTTATGATTCACCCCCAAACAAATACCTATGCGGACACACACCATTGCCAATTCAACTTACTTTTTCAATCAAATCAAGAATTACTTTTCCGTGGTGCGGCCAGTCGGGCTAGTGTCAACCACCCTAACAACTGTCACCACTTAAGGTCCCTCACATTATTATCAACCTTCCACATACGTACCTTTTAATCTTTCTTCGTGTCTGTCTGTATGCAGTTCTGTGTCATCTTTGAGCTGAAGAGCAAGAACTACACTGATTTCTCAAGGCTGAACCAAACCATGCATTGGAGCTTTCACTGTCCACACCGTCCATCAAATTTACTAGTAAGCTTTATTAACCGACACTCTGACCTTGGGTATGGTCTATTTGTGAGATATATGCAGGATTGAAGTGAACCTTACCTGGACAAATCGGTGAATATCCTAAACCCACCCCTTTGCTCTCTGGAGACTCAGTAGTCAGGTCTCACGGTATTTCGAATGTAAGTATGACGCTAATTTCTAGAACAGAAAGCACACTACTCGGCTAAATCTCAGTTAACGGTTGACTGGACGGTGCAGTGAGGAGGAAGCAGTGCCTTTTTGATTGTCCACGCACTCCAGGCTGATAGGTACTACCTCGACATGGTGGTCGAGTTCACATATCACAATGACCCAACGAACTGTACTGGCTGAAATACTTGTCCTCTGGAGGTCCTACCATGCCAGAAAGGTCTGTTGGATAATGGTAGGGTGAAAAGCAGTTACCGCTGTAGTGTAAACTACTATACTATGATGGGGCTTTGAGGTAGAAGTCGTACTGCTGGGTGAATAGTTTGTGATAGCAACAAGGTGTTTCTCTTGTATGGTCAGCAGTGTCATCCTGATGGTTTCTTCCCTCCTGCAAGGTAGGATTTAGGAAAGGTCAACCCCTCAAAAAACACTCCGCCATGGCCTACCGGTGTCGGCGATATAGGTATTCTCACTCCAGCGTTAGAACAACCAAATCTCAAAACAACAATCCACATAAGGCTGTGTGTGACAGCCTTCGAGCGGATGTCCCATGGGCTCTATGATCACACAAATCTGTCTCTCAGGTATTTTAAGAATAAATAGCCTTCTAGCAGCCAGCGAGTGTCAGCCACCTACACACTTCCATTTGTGCATAAAACCCAATCAAACAACCTATTCTCCCCGACTCTGTCACCTCACTCGCCTCCACTTCCTGATATTAATATTAAGCCTCTTACACCTTCCCCAGCTTCTCACTCTGCGACCTTTCGCAACGATCAAAGTCATCAAAACCTCATTAAGACCCGGTCATCGACTTCATTTAGGAGCTGTCAACTTCCGAACTCCATGCCAAATCTGACAGCAAGCATTGCTTGCCAGAACTCGGGAATATGTGACCATGGATGTATAGCGTGTCTCTGAGACACGCATAAAAGGCTCGAGTATGGTTATTAAATTGACCTCACCTGGCCATGGTAGTGAATCTTCAAATTTTACCTTATGAATATCTGGTTAGTTCTCATGGACTCGGTGGCGTAGGTGTAGCATTGAGCTGTAGGGCAGAAAGTGCGCTTCTCGACTGGAGACCAGTCAACAGTCATCTATGTGCCGTTCGACTGAATGGATCTGCAAGAACTACGAAGGATCATGAGATCACCCGATGCCTATTTGTGATCTCTGCCTACACATCCACCGACTGTAGTAGTTCGGATGACGCAAAGGATGAACTCCATGAGCTGTCAACTTTGCTACAGAAAGCAAAACGTTCAAATGTAGTTATTATGGCAGGTACCTTTAACGCTCAAGTAAGAAAGGTGAGCCAATCGGAGAGACATGTTGGGGTTGTCTACGGGATCCCATATCAATGAGGTGACAACGGTGACCGTCTGTTGCAACTCTGTTCTTACAATCACTTATATCTAGCCAGCACTAACTTTCGGCATGTGACACTATCGCACTAATATGAGAGTAAAGCTTGTGCACTGTGGTAGAATGTAATTCCATTTTAATTGATTTTTTAGATAATTTACTGTCCAAAGTCATATCACCTTGATATGGCTATGGATAAATTATGTCCGAAACGTAATCCAGTAAACGATATTGTTACACTGTGTGATAGATCTAATTAATCATTTAAAATGAGACACTGTTTCAAATGGCATCCGCCCATATCAAATCAATGATGGACACGGATAAGTCATATTGCCCTAAGCTATCTTTGGAGGATTGGCGTTCTCTCCGGAGTACACGTTTGGACTCTGATCACGTGCTGGTACAGGCTCATGTGTCTGGTTTTTCCTGGTCACAGGAAGTAGGCAATAGTAAAGCCTATCTGTGTTCGATTGGAAGATGAGGACACCAGGTACGTATTTAGAAAAAAGTTAGCTAAGCACTTATCTAAACATGACAGCAGTTCTCATTCTGAAGAAACCTGGCATAATATTAAGTCTGTAGTAGAAACAGAGGTAAAGACAGTTGGTAACCTACAATTGAAGGTTAGCAAATGTCATTGGATTTTCGCATTGTAATCCAAACTGGTTGATACAAGAAGACTGATTCCGGTTCACTCCGATCACAATGAGGAGGGCAGGCAGCTTAAATGTAAATTGGTCAGGAGTATTCCCAATGACCGCGAGCAGTGGTGAGAGAGAGAGAGAGAGAGAGAAAGGGAAAAAAATGGAGAAGGCATCATCTTTAGGTAACACCCAACGGTTATTTATGCTTATTAAGATTACTGACGAAAAGAAAACGATGACTAGTAAAACCGTCATGAAAAGGATGGAATGCTCATAACGACTCAGGACAGATGGCCAAAACGTTGGGCTAAACACTGAAGCACAGTCCAACCGGACCGTGGCAACGCTTCACTTGCTCAATATCCAGTCTGAACCTAAATGAGACGTAGATGTCTGTCCTACAACAATCCTCGAAGTTGCGAAGGATATTTCCAACTTGAAAGGATGTAAAGCAGCAGGACTTGATAGTTTGGCACTCAAATATTTGGAAATGGAGGGTAGCTTGACCAAGACGTGGCACCAGTGCACGAAATCCCTGACCGTTGGTCTGGGCCGTCTGGGGGAAATGTAGACTGTCTGTCTGGGGTCTGCAAGATGATGGGAATCTGTATTTGAGGACTCTTGGTGACATGGCTGGAAATTGGTCACAGAAGCGCAGACGTATTCACTCTTTCATGTCTTCTAGAGCTTAAATGTTTGCACCAATGGTTATTTTCGAATTGTTCATTCTCTCGCACAACTTTGTCTACTTTGATATCAATCTTTTTCTATCCACCTGTTCTTTGTACACTACAATAAAGTGTGGCAAATTGAGCTGCTACACCTCTGTGCAAAGTTCTGCGTTGATTTAGTCTTTGTCTGTTTGTGCCCTTACTAGCTGCTGATGGGATAGAGTGAAGGGTATTCTGCAAAAACTGTCTAACCTCCTACCGAAACATTTGATTTTCTTAACAGAGGATTTCAATGCAATAGTAGTGTGTCTCAGTCAAGCTAGAAAGCGCTAAGATGACACTTTCAGAATCCCAGTCAAACGGACAGGTAATGGTGATTGCCTGCTACACCTGCTCAAACAACCACCTATTTCGCAACAGCTTGGATTTTGAACATGAATAGAGACACTATCAGATTGGGCATCGACTGACCCCAACACACAAACAGACCGTTTCACTATCGGTTGTCGTTGTTGACAGTCGTTGAAAAATTGTTACCCCTTCTGAAATGCATGTTTGGACAGTGGTCCCGCATCTGCCCCGGACATGCCTATGTCTGCGCCTGAATAGACGGGGAGAAGCTACAGTTGCAAAGCCATTTCGAGCACAGCTCAAATAGGAGGGGAAAATGACTGTTTACAACGAAGAATTGGCTAGACAGTTATTGGTACAGGACATAGCCTGACCAAAACATAATATCAATGTGTGAACTTTTTGACTGTTGGTTTGAGTCATGTAAGGCGATGCAGACTAGCCGGCTGGGGTCCGCGGGACAAGAGGAGCAAGTGGTTAGGGACTCTAGGTGATATGGCTCAGAATCGAAGTCAGTGGCGCAGATGTACACACACATTATCCTCATCTTAACAACGCTATACCGAATTTCACCATCTTCTCATTCTTCCTTTCTCTCTTTTCATACTTCGTGTTTCTTTTGATTGAGTTTTCTTTTCTTCATCTTCCACTTTACTGCCTTTTTACTTGATGTACTGATATTAACTGTGGCAACTCAAACCGCTACGCAGTAATGCATGGTTCTATGTTGTTGATGATGATGACAAGGTCAACCATCTTCGAAAAGCTTGACGCCATCTCCAATCTGCTGTGAAACAGCGTTAAAGAATGTTACTGTCCCCGCCCCCCCCCCCCAAAAAAAAAGTTTCAGTCGGTAATATCAGCAGCTTCAGGTACATTAATAGATGTTAGTATGCGCACCACGGGATTCTTGTCAACACAATAATAGACTCATAAAGAGTCTGAGCAATGACTGAAGAGGTTCTATCACCATCAAATATCTAAGTGAAGCTCTGAGGCAGTGGATCTAAGAAAAATAGGCAAGCTTCAAATCTGACCGGGAGTCTAATGTCAGGTGTAGACATTTTGGTTAGCAGATTTTTTAATCGGTTGATGAGTTTTTAAACGTTCATAGACTCAGATCACTGGTACATATGCTACACATAGTTAATCACGGTCTATTTCATACTGTGACGTTGGCTAAAGTAAGTTTAATCCCCAGAAAGGTTGAACATACTCATGCTAGTAGATGATATCAGTTCATAATGTGTGTAAGCATGTTACTGCTCGGCAACTTCAAGTCCCATATTGATGCTGACGGACTGATATAACCACTTGTTTTCTTACATAACTTGTACGTTGTGGTAATCCAAGGAGGTTTTGTTATCACCATCATGGTTATTCGTACTTATTTTGGATCGGTACATGAATTAAAAGCTATAGCCGTATCGTTTCAGCCGGTGGTGAGGTAAAGTATTTTTCCTGACTAGTGGTAGTAGTACAATCCATTGCAGTAGGTATTTGTGTGCTCTTGTTTATAGGCTCTAGTTTAGCATACTTCCTAGACTGAATGTGCCAGAAACAGAATTAAATCGAACCTCACGGTATTAGAGGAGAGTTGTGATCACATATCATTAATAATTCTTGGTTTCTTAAGTGAACGAAAACTGCTATCATAATTTTAATCTATTTTTAAAACTCCGGTAATAGCCTCAAGATTTTGTTCTGAAAAATGATGCAGTCAACAACAAGTCCACGTTTTGGTGATATCATGCGCTTGAGTGAATGTTGACTGAGTTCCATAAGTTAATGTTGAAGAAACATCAAAAGGAAATCATTATTTTGTCACCTCTGGCTTTATAGTAAGGATATATTACGATGAATTCGGTCTAGAAAGTAACAGAATGTTTCTATGCAGGAGGAGATTCAGATGTTTTAGCCATTATGGTGTAATTGACCTGCTTTTTACTCGCTATGGTTGTTACTACTTAACAGCAGATGATAGTAAGACTAAGTAGTCATACAAACCGTAGGAATCCAGCCAAATCTATTTGTTAAACAATGTGATTAGTTGTGAAAGTTAAGATGAAACAAGCTAACATCGTTTTTCTGGTTTTTGGGCTAAAATACACTTTTGTGTCAACGAAGCATTTTACATGTGAAGTGAACATTTCTGCAAACGCTAATTACTCGTGATATCGTGCAAGTGCCTACAAGAATTGATTATTGAATAGTAAAAGGTTTTCGTACCTAATTAATGTTTAATATTTGAAGTTATCATCTATTGTATATCTGTTGTAGTGAATAATTTAACGGAATCCATTTCGGTGTTGTATGGCTTGAGGTTTGACTGGAATCATGCTAATCTTTCTTGTTTGCTGGTACAAACAAAGCCTATCAACCACACTGAGGAAACTTTTGATTCCTTTAAAGTCGCATGCCAAATACTTTAGTGCTGTCAGGAATGATCCCCTACCTCCTTCATTTGTACTGGTGCTTAAGTGCTGCGAACTTATGGAGATCTGTCCTTGTTTTTACGGAACTGCAGTCCAATGGCCCACGTAATGCAGAGCAACTCAACCCAGTGCAGGCTTATCTAATAGGATATGGGCCACGGCTAACGTTTGAGGGCTAATGATACTACCTGGTTGCCCATATTGTGGTTGGTGGAGCGAGATCTGAACTCAAGACAATGCTTGAAACTGGGGTTTTTAAACCTATGAACCATGTATCTAGCTTAGACAACAAAAAATCGTAGTTTCATGATGCTAAGCACCGTGATTTAGCGAACAAGGTAAAATGTTCAACTTGCATATGATAAATTATAATTCATCTCAAAAATCTATGGGTAGCTTCTGAATTACATATGGTTCTGTGATTTTTTGCTGAGGTACTGAAATGTGCAACAGTCTAATATATCTTTCATAGAGCACTAATCGTTTTTGGTGATGAGACAGTAGTTATCTAGGAAGACTTCTAGGGTTTCAGGAAAGGAACTGATATGTTTTTATAGTTTATCGACCATTCGGATTATCTGTGTTTCCCAATTTCTTATTTTGCTCAAGTCCACTTTGCTTCAGGTTTATACTTCATTGGGATAACTTCTGATGTTGATTTATGTAAATGTTCATTTGTGTAGGTGGGTCGAGTGGAGCGTGATGCTCCTCTTGTTGCTGGACATAAGGGAAGTGTCTTAGATATACAATGGTGCCCACATAATGATGATCTCATCGCCAGTGGTTCAGAAGACTGTACTGTAAAGGTTTGGCAAATCCCAGAAGGTGGACTTCTTCCGAAAACAAATTTGACGACACCTGTGGCTGACCTGGTGTGTCATCAGCGTCGTGTTGGGTTAGTCGTGTGGCACCCAACTGCTGAACACGTTCTATTATCGGCAGGTAAAAATATTTATAATGTGAATCTTAATAATATGTGTTGAAATTTATTTATGTGCTCATCAATTATGAATCAAGTGAAATCATCGGGAATCGTAGGCATGTTCGTACATAAAGCTCGTTTCTAAATCTCTGCTTGCAACGTAATATCATTCGGAAAGATGTATTTTTCAAACGTAGTTGACAAACGTTCATCAAACTTGCCATTGAGAACTCATGAACTGAGGAATGTCAAAGTTGAGTTTTGCCTGATTATATCTTATGTGACAATTCTTATTGATATCATTGCAGTGGGACGAGTGAATTTAACAAAATGCTTTGGTTGCATCTGAGATCAGAAACATTAAATCCCTCGCTGAAACATCATGGGATTTCCGTAGCTTCTTCAGAGATTCAAATGAGCTTCTGTCAACGTTTCAACCAGAGATGTTGCCGTTGAGGTATTTGGTATGCATCCAACCCGTTGTATGGCCGAATTAAGTAAGCTGATAGGTTATTAGATAGCAACAAAATCCTACCGTTTGGGTTTGCGAATTAGAAGCTTCGTTAGTGGTACATTTTGTTTGATTATAGATTATTAGACGAGATCTTCATGAAGCACTAAACGTGACTGTCGTGTTTGTCATCATTCGTCAATAAGACTTATCTCCAACCTAAACGACTCGGTTTTGTCACCTGTCCACCAAACTTTACAGTGCCGCCTTGAATATCTGTTCGTGGAGCTGTGGCTCATTGGTTTAGGCAGTTGACTTTCAACCACTGGGTCACGCATCCGAACGCCACTCCACCTACCGAGCTTTGGGTAGCTAGGTAGTTTCATTAGCCCTAACAGACAATAGGTGTGGCCCATTGCCTACTGAGCGAACATGCACAAGGTTGCTGAGTGCTCTTCGGAATTTTTCGAACTTCCAAATATCTGTTGAGCGTTAGTTCCCTCAGGGTTTCCTATGCACAGTGCTCAGTACCAACCAGCAACCTGGGTTAAGCGATACGTTTCAACTACCTCAATCCATCTAACTCTAAAGAATGTTAAATTGCTAGTTGCTAAGTAATGCTCCGTGACTATTCTGCACAGAGACTTAATTTGTCCATACACAGTAAGAGTTGGATGTGTCAAATAGTAATAACCTTATTAGTTATTTATGCCTTGATTGGTTAGTGGCCTGAAGGATCTTTGCAGTAGTGCGGAGGGTTTGATTGTTACATATCAGTCACGTCACTTGCAGTTTCTAAGCAACGCCTACATTTCCACCAAGGTTTAGTTATTTAGAGTTGTAGTCCTCTTTTTATAATGTATGGCTTCAGCGTATTTGTTCTAGATGACTCACAACCACTGTTTTCTTCAAATCGCCGTACACATCTAGTAAAATTACCGATGCAGTTCAGATTAAAGTTAAAACTGTCCATTATATCTGATAAATTCCCAAAACACTGACTCGCGTTATCTGAATTCTGTTGAGAAAATGTTGATGCTAACCGTACATATCGATCCTTCATACTACCGCGTCTCGGTATAAATTAACGAATTAGTGTTACGTGTGCCAATTTGCGACCTGTCTTGACCCGTGGCACTGATTGTAGCAAAAGTAAAGCTGGAAGCTGTTGGTTATTGGGTTTCTATCGTTTGGGTAAATGCGGATATAATTGCTGTGTTCCATTAGGCAATAGCAATAATTCTTTACAAATGCCAGATGTTGTCGAACTCTTGTCAACTTATTTTGGCTTCTCTGTTGCAGTGTCTGACTATTTAAATCTGGCGCAGTTTTCAGAGAAATTCATGCATTAAAAGATCTACTTTACTTGTAACAGTCGGTGGTAACAGAAAATTCCAAGTCGTACCGAAAATGTTTTGCAATAGAGAGATTACTACCATCATTATTACTAATATTCGTATATCTGGACGAAGTGCAGCTGGTGGTCGATTCAAGAGCTTTTTAAAGTGATCAGCCCATTGTTTCCTTTGTTTCTATTCTTTGGTAATTAGATTTCCTCTATCATCTTTTATTTTTCTCTCTGCCTCTTCTGCCGACTTGTTAGTTTTCGACCGTAGATCTTCGAGTTTGTGCGGCGTTAAACATAAATCATCGGCGAAATCCAAATAATGTAGGGTCTTTTCATCGGGCCAGCTAACGTATCCCCCTCTTCTCGCTCCTCACTGTTTGTTGCATGATCCAGTCTACCACAATCAGGAAGATCATCAGTGATATCAGACAGTCTTGTCTTACTCCTGTCTTCACTCCAAAGGCGTCGCTGAGCTTCCCATTGTATATCACTTGGCATGTGGCGTCTACATATAGCTGTTAAATAAGCTTGATAAAGATTTGTGGCACTCCGTAGTGTTCAAGCAGTTGACAAATCGCTTCTCGGTCGACGCTGTAGAAGGCCTTTTCAAAGTCGACGAAGTTGAGGCAGAGACTGGACTGTCATTCTATACTCTGTTCTATGATGATGCGTAGTGAAGCGTTGGAATTTCATCCCCACATGATCCGTTCTCCCTGAAGTCAACCAGCCTGTTCCGGTCGTAATTTTGAATCCAGAGCATATTTTAGTCTCTCCAGGATGATGCAGCACTATATTTTGCTTGGGATTAACAGCAGCATGATTCCACGCCAGTTCTTGCAAACACTTAGGTCTCCCTTCTTTTGGAGTTTCACAAGGTAACCTTTCTTCCAATCTGCAGGTACCTTTCCTTCCTTAAGAAACCTTCTGCAATAGTGGTGTAGGCATGTCCGCTGCGTTTGTTTTCAGTGCTTCTGGTGGAATTTCATCTGGTCCTGCTGCTTTCCCGGATTTCAGTAACTTTATAGACTTCGAAACTTCACTCCTGATTTTGTCGGAGAGCCTGTGTTCACCTGTACTTCTGCCGTTGCTGGTAATACTTCCGGACGAGTTGCAGATGGTGGTCGATTCAAGAGCTTTTTCAAGTGATCAGCCCATTGTTTCCTTTGTTTCTATTCTTTGGTAATTAGATTTCCTCTATCATCTTTTATTGGTTTCACGTGTGTTGATCTCCGCCCAGATCGTCACCTGGTTATTTGATACAATGTTGTCAGGTCTCTCCTACCAGTAGCCTGTTCTGCTTCACTTGCCAGTGTGTCGTAGAAGTGTCATCTGTCTTTGCGCGCACTCTTCTTCACTTCTTTCTCCAGTGTAGTGTTTTATACGTTGTACTCAGTTCCTCTTTTCCTTGTTCATCCTTGCACTGGTTCATCTCCTGCTTCACCATCTTCCTCTCCCTCCTCTATCAGCTTCCATGTGTCCGTTGAGATCCATCCCTTGTCTTGTTTCCTCTTCCTTCCTAATACGGTTATGCAGGTTTCTTTTCACATCCCTTTCAAAGAGTTCCACTGTTCATCCAACACACAGGTTTCTTCAGGGATGTTGCTCAACATCTCTCACTTTTTTCTCATAACTGACTGACGTGAAGATGTCCTTTGTAGTTTCGTCCTTCAGTTCCTGTTCTGGGTATTGAACTTGAACTGTGGTCTATCACCAACTTCCTTGCACTAGATAGCAGTGTAAACCTACATCTGCTCCTCTTCTTCATCTTGTGTCCAGTAGACTGCCTATCCACTTTCTTCAGATTGAGATGAAGTCGATCTGGTTTTTGGTGTGTCCATCTGGTGGAGTTCATGTCTCTTTGTGGATATCCTTGTGTTTGTACACACTGCCTCCAATCACCAAATCGTTGAATGCACAGAATTCTGCAAACAATTCTCCATTCTTGTTCATTTCACCGAGTGCTTCTCGACCCATGCTTAGTTCTCTTCCTGTGTTGTCCCCTCCCAGTTTCGTATTCATATCGCCCATTAGAATTTTGATGTTTCCAACTGCGGTGGAGTCTTGTCTAGTACTAATCGCATATTTCTCTGTAGAATTCCACTTCCTTCTCTTGATCTACATTATTTGTACGTGTGTAGTGTAGCATTGAGTGATTGTGACTTTCCTTCCTTTTGAGTCGAATCTCTCTGTCATGATCCTGATCGTGGAGGTTATTGGTTCCCACTGCATAAGAGCCTTCCATGCTCCTGGGACATCATGATAGCCACTGGAAAACTCACTGTGTTCGTGGTTGTCGTTTGAGTGACAATATCGGAGTAGATTATTGACTCTCCAGTTGAGAGTTTGGAGAGTCCACTTCCATTCCATCTGCTTTCGCAGATTCCAGGCTATTCCATTCCATACCTTCTCATCTATTTTTCAATTTGGGCAGCCCTGCCAGGGTTATACATGGTGCAGACATCCCATGTCCCCACGTTTACTTTCTCTTTCATCGAGAGAGGGGTGACACATCGGCCAATTGGCTTCCTGGAGGCTTTCACCAACCAGCGTCATTTCGTCTCTCCGATTCCAGCGAGGAATAATTTTGTTTTTATTTTTAATATTTTGTTTGTGCTTTGAAGTTTCTGTAGCGGTTGATTTGTTTTCCGGGGTAGGGTTGCTAGCCCTATGCCCAACCTTCCCTCTTTACCTGGGCTTAGGACCGAATAGTAACTAATGAGGTAGTTATCCAGGCGAGGTTTTGTCGTTATTTTTATGCCCTTTGTCCTTGCAGATTACCTCTCAAGGGAGGGGGTTGTTAGTTAGAGGAAGGTGTTTTCGTACGTTGAGCGATTCACCCACTTGGGAAGTCAAACCAGCACTTGTGGGCCATTGATTGCCGAAGTATCTGCACGGATACAGAGGACTTGATTGGTTTTTGCCAACTTACACCACTTTTGTCGTTAATGAGATATTTGGAAGCTTACTAAAAGTGGATTATACTGCATTGCAGTTTCCTTTGTTCCACTGTCTGCCTATGAAACATGGTCGTCAAGGGTGGTGGGCAATTAAGTGTCTCTCATTGTTTTATCTTAACCGGCGTTGCTGTATGGCGTGTTCAGTATGTGGTGTTGTGGTTAAGTGTTTAGTCATGTGTAAAAGATATGTCAGCTGATGAAATTGTATACTGCCTAGCAAGTTGTTTTGGGCATCTATTTTATCACTGCTTGCGTCGATTTTAAGTCGGGTGAAGTAGTATTGCTTAAGAAGGCTACGATTGGCCAGATAGTGACAGACAAAGATATATCACTGGGAAGTCTCCGATTGTTGGTTAGAGTCCTTAAGGGATATACGGGCAACCTAACTGGAGTCTTTGACATGATGTAGATTTATAGTTGTAGAGTGATTAGTATGGCTGGAAGGTGCTCACAATGGCGCACTTTTAAACATATTTTGTCGTCTTTGAAGTGTTGCACTTTTTCAACAGCATTCATATATTTGCCCTCACAAATGTACTTTAGTCTACTTCTGTATCTTTTACTTCTTCTGTATGATTCTTTCTGTCATTAGTTTTTCTTTGCATACTGATGTGAAGTGTAGAAACTCGGATTGATGCACTTTTATACCAAGTTCAGCGTTGACTTATCTGTCTGTCATTCTTGTCGAGACTTGGTTTTAATATAAGGTGTGTAATTTTGAGTTATGCTTTTTCGGTTCTGTGATAGACGAGAATTCTATACGGTATGTAGGCATTATTAAATGATGATGGTAATGCGACTGTTACTGATGGTTGACCACTAGCTTGAGTATCTTACTACATAAAAGTTGGAGTTAAATTATGTCATTTATTATCCAATTCTATTTTGGCATTAGTAGAAGACTGATTTGATTGTTTTGCTTCGATACTTTCGTTTTCGGATTGATCTAGATCAGAGAGTTTCATAAAGGCTAAAGATAGCGTCGTATTTTCAGTAGCTGATGTAAAATTTGAACAATCTTAGCACTAGTTGTATTCCTTCACTAATTTGTGCACAATTACATAGATTACTGGCTGTATGATTGCACAATTATATGCTGTTGTAAAGACTATGATACCAATTCAGTGTTTCTGTTCACTACTCATTACACATTGATTATTGATTAAAACAGGTAGATTATAAGATTTCCGGTATTTAGTTCATTTTATTTTTATTTGTTTTTCTTTGCTATCGTAATTGTCTATGTGCCTTGTTTGTTTGCACTGTTAATTAGGTACCGACAACATGGTGTATATATGGAATGTGGCTACAGAAGAGCCATTGGTTGAGATATCATTTCCAGATATTGTCTTATCTGCTTGTTTTAATTATAATGGCTCTCGCTTGGTTACAACTTGTAAAGATCGGCGTACACGAGTGCTTAATCCACGAACTGGATCAATTATTGTTGTAAGCTTATTTCTATTGATATACTTCTGTTATATAGCTTCATATAATAATTAATCACTTTTGATATGGTCTGATTTTCTTATGCATTATCACTTATCATTCTTTGCGTATATAATGGCGTTATAGAAGTAGGAGTAAGCTTTTGTGTAGTGTTCTTACAGGTGAAGATTTAGGAGTTGCATAGACAGAACATTAACGCATACGTTGACTTTCTGATGCAAAACTGCGGCACAAAAATCGACTGCACTTCAACTTACCTCTGATCTTCATTATCAGAGAGGCCTCTTTCCAAACGTTTAGAGGGTTGTACATTCTATTTTGTCATGGTTACACTTAAGTATTAAGTCTTACATGAAAATAGTTGAGCAGTTAAATCCCACTCAGTTTGTTCTAACTATTATTTATTATTATTAGCACATAATTATGGTATAACAAGAGCACCAAGAAATACGCCACACAAAATAATATGGCACTATTTTGAAGACACAAACCGAAAGTGTAGTGTTTGAAAAGAATAACATAATTAGAATAGAATTATTAGAAAGACAGTTCAATAAGATACATTCAAACCAGAACATTCATTGCTTTTCAGCAGCAGAAGATAGGAGCTGCAGCATAGCCGCCACTGGTTTCGATTCTGACCCATATCTGATAACGTATCAAACCACTAAGTTACGCAATCTCTTGGCCCCTACCCAGGGATTCGTGATGCTCCAACACATGTTAACTCGATACAACCATTCTTTATCCTACGGGGCCACATCATACACGGACCATCTCTCTGCTTTTTCCGCCCAGTCCTAGGGCTAGCAAACAATGAATGGTATGAAAACCGTTGAGACGACGTGCGTAACACATATCCAAGCCACCGAAGCCTGTATTTCCAGATGATCTGGCTTATTGAATGATGATCTCCCTCATGCTCAAGCATACGCTGTCTTACCTCGGAATTACTTACATGATGTTGTCACCGGACACGAGCAAACCTACGGAGACAACGATGGTCAAACACAGAGTCATCGCACATCCTCAGCTCGGAGATGCCAGGTTTCACAAGCGTAGGGCGGAAGTGGTTGCACAGAAGCTTTGTAAACCCAACCTTTTGCGATCAGACTAACGTCGCGACGGCGCCAAAGGTGACTCTGAGGTATGCCACTCTGGCATTTGATATACAGTTAGAAATTTTATCATACCACCAGCATTCACATGACTACCTAGATACACGAACTTTCCGACTACATCCAGCGGCTGTCTACCAAGGGTGAGCGCAGGCTCAGGCTCCCACCAATTCGCGAAAGTACTTTGCACTTTGATGGTGCCAAGCACATACCATACTTACGGACATTAATTGCCAACTGATGAAGTGGGATTTGAGTAGCCGAGTTGACAGATGGGGGACTTGTTCGATGCACTTCACAAGGATCTTGTATGCGGGTCTCTGAAACGCAGCAAACATCGATAGCGAGGCTTTCCAGAGCCGTAATTAAGCCTGCATGCGCTATACATTTCTTCTGGGACCTGGAGCCCATGTGAGCCATTGGTTTGGAATGAGGGTTTTCCAAGTCCCTTGGGTAGACCCTCAGTACCCAACAATCCGGCGATAGGCGCTGGGCATTTGCTTTCACCCTTTCACTTTTGTGGGAACACCCCCGCCACGTGAAGGCAGTGAATAGGACTTCTCTAGGAGAGGCTGTGAACCACACTACGGCATTTGGGGGCGTTTTTTTCAGCAGATATCAATGAACGGTTTGTGTCCTATGTTGGTGAAGAAACCAATAAGACAATCACAGATGTAAAATGACAAAGCTCATAAGTAGGAATTGTTTTGGAGATCACTGTTAACTTCTGTTTGAAATCTTAGATGAAACGTGAATAGATTTCTTCAGTTCTACCTTCAATTTCAAGGAAGGATGGCATAATTGTCTAGAAAGACAGATTAACATCATGTATATGTACTGAAAAATTCGAAAATCTAATATCTGGAAGACAATGATACGCATTTAGTGTGGTTAATCATTGTTATTATTATCAATGTATGTGTTATGAGGGTTTGTAACTTGGATTGACGATATGTGGGGTTCCGCTTTCCTCGAGCTGAATAGTTGATTCTCAAAGCCATTAAAATGATGTCTGAAAACACCAAGATATTATGGGTTGGTCGTTTTCTCATCGTTCTTGTTAGATGACATAGATTACGTGTAGTAATTTACTAAACTTGTGATAAACTGCTTTCGTTGGATTTTTAGGATGGCATTTGTCACCAAGGCTCAAAACCACAGGAGGCTGTTTATATTAAAGACAATCGAATTTTTACCACTGGTTTCTCACCAATGAGCGAACGCCAGTATGCGTTATGGAAAGACGTAAGTTGTGTAAAACATTTTCCCATACCTATTTGTTTTATCGCTATGTAAACGTAAAAAAGCATTCAGGAAAGCATAAGTTCCATTTAGTACACACTTCATATGATGGTCACCAAAGACAGTAAAAGCGTAAATATAACGAGAGTGCTCAAAACTAGATTTTATGAGATATAATCACTAAGAACCATAGAATGTACATATTTAAACTCATTTCATCGCTGTTTCTTATTGCTAGTTTGACGCTACCCTCTAGATTCTTTCCACATCTTTTAGATCTGTAAAAAAAATGCTGTCAATTAATGTTACCCCTAAATCGGTCGTTTTTTTCTTTTCACTGTCTGTACATGTCTGTACATATGAATGTGTGACATCATCGACCGGCATATCTTAGCTGTAACCTTACACAATCTCGATATCATTTAATAGTTTTCATTACATATTAGTTATTGAGGTCATATTTAATCAGTTAAAACTTGCTCATTTCTTTCACCAACAATACTCCATGTATCAGAATGCAATTCATTGATGTCTCATACATTGGAAAATGGATATTGCAGAAATTACATCACTTACTGTATTGGTAAAGTATGCTAGCAAGTGTTGATCCAAGTTACTATATTTGTGCGGGAAATTCATTGTGAATTATCAGGAATGATGCAACAGCCTTAATTTATCATGTGATCTGAATTAGCACAGATTTAACAGGCCAGAGTTGCAAAGCCTACTGAATACTGTTAAACGGTGGGTCATAGGTTCAAACTCCACTCCACCTACCAGGGTTTGGACGGCCAGGTAGTTTCATTAACCTCCACACAGTAGATATCATTTATTGCCTACTGGACAAACATGCACATGGCTGCTGAGTGTACTTCGTCCTTTTCATACTGAAAACTGTGCAGTTCCATTTCTTTGCATAAAAGTGTTTTCTGGTTTTCCCCTCATAATTCTAACAGTCAGATCAAATACCCAACCCTGGGAAGTCATCGACAGAAGATTGTTCTGTTGAGGATGCACGTTACAGAAACAGCGTGCATTACTAGGTAAAGAAAAGTGAATTACTGCCAGTGAAGCCTATTGATCCACTTAGCGCTCGTTCAGGATTTATAATATCATGTTTCTTTTTCTATGTCTAGTATTTCAATATCTGTAGGATATGTTTAAATATAAACCATTCGGGTAAAATTTGGCAAGTAAGGAGACACCATCGAAACCAGTCGTTTAGTCCTCACATTTAAAGGTGGTAAAGATGACGTTATTCACAGAAATTTTTATCTCAAACCCTTAAAAAAATGATAATCATACATAAAGACTGTAGGTTGGTAGCATTCAACTTTGTTGAGTTCTTATCTTTTCAAAAATTACCATTTGTACTTCCAGAAACGTGGCTATAACTATAACAGTATTCCTAACGTCCATTATTTCTTACTACTCAGGATAAACAGACAAAATTACTTACTACACAAATGAAGGAGTGGTAAGCACCACACCTGGTTAACTAGTTTACTAGTTACTACCCGGTACTAAGCCCAGGTAAAGAGGGAAGGTTGGGCATAGGGCTAGCAACCCTACCCCGGAAAACAAATCAACCGCTACAGAAACTTCAAAGCACAAACAAAATATTAAAAATAAAAACAAAATTATTCCTCGCTGGAATCGGAGAGACGAAATGACGCTGGTTGGTGAAAGCCTCCAGGAAGCCAATTGGCCGATGTGTCACCCCTCTCTCGATGAAAGAGAAAGTAAACGTGGGGACATGGGATGTCTGCACCATGTATAACCCTGGCAGGGCTGCCCAAATTGAAAAATAGATGAGAAGGTATGGAATGGAATAGCCTGGAATCTGCGAAAGCAGATGGAATGGAAGTGGACTCTCCAAACTCTCAACTGGAGAGTCAATAATCTACTCCGATATTGTCACTCAAACGACAACCACGAACACAGTGAGTTTTCCAGTGGCTATCATGATGTCCCCAGGAGCATGGAAGGCTCTTATGCAGTGGGAACCAATAACCTCCACGATCAGGATCATGACAGAGAGATTCGACTCAAAAGGAAGGAAAGTCACAATCACTCAATGCTACACTACACACGTACAAATAATGTAGATCAAGAGAAGGAAGTGGAATTCTACAGAGAAATATGCGATTAGTACTAGACAAGACTCCACCGCAGTTGGAAACATCAAAATTCTAATGGGCGATATGAATACGAAACTGGGAGGGGACAACACAGGAAGAGAACTAAGCATGGGTCGAGAAGCACTCGGTGAAATGAACAAGAATGGAGAATTGTTTGCAGAATTCTGTGCATTCAACGATTTGGTGATTGGAGGCAGTGTGTACAAACACAAGGATATCCACAAAGAGACATGAACTCCACCAGATGGACACACCAAAAACCAGATCGACTTCATCTCAATCTGAAGAAAGTGGATAGGCAGTCTACTGGACACAAGATGAAGAAGAGGAGCAGATGTAGGTTTACACTGCTATCTAGTGCAAGGAAGTTGGTGATAGACCACAGTTCAAGTTCAATACCCAGAACAGGAACTGAAGGACGAAACTACAAAGGACATCTTCACGTCAGTCAGTTATGAGAAAAAAGTGAGAGATGTTGAGCAACATCCCTGAAGAAACCTGTGTGTTGGATGAACAGTGGAACTCTTTGAAAGGGATGTGAAAAGAAACCTGCATAACCGTATTAGGAAGGAAGAGGAAACAAGACAAGGGATGGATCTCAACGGACACATGGAAGCTGATAGAGGAGGGAGAGGAAGATGGTGAAGCAGGAGATGAACCAGTGCAAGGATGAACAAGGAAAAGAGGAACTGAGTACAACGTATAAAACACTACACTGGAGAAAGAAGTGAAGAAGAGTGCGCGCAAAGACAGATGACACTTCTACGACACACTGGCAAGTGAAGCAGAACAGGCTACTGGTAGGAGAGACCTGACAACATTGTATCAAATAACCAGGTGACGATCTGGGCGGAGATCAACACACGTGAAACCAATAAAAGATGATAGAGGAAATCTAATTACCAAAGAATAGAAACAAAGGAAACAATGGGCTGATCACTTGAAAAAGCTCTTGAATCGACCACCATCTGCAACTCGTCCGGAAGTATTACCAGCAACGGCAGAAGTACAGGTGAACACAGGCTCTCCGACAAAATCAGGAGTGAAGTTTCGAAGTCTATAAAGTTACTGAAATCCGGGAAAGCAGCAGGACCAGATGAAATTCCACCAGAAGCACTGAAAACAAACGCAGCGGACATGCCTACACCACTATTGCAGAAGGTTTCTTAAGGAAGGAAAGGTACCTGCAGATTGGAAGAAAGGTTACCTTGTGAAACTCCAAAAGAAGGGAGACCTAAGTGTTTGCAAGAACTGGCGTGGAATCATGCTGCTGTTAATCCCAAGCAAAATATAGTGCCGCATCATCCTGGAGAGACTAAAATATGCTCTGGATTCAAAATTACGACCGGAACAGGCTGGTTGACTTCAGGGAGAACGGATCATGTGGGGATGAAATTCCAACGCTTCACTACGCATCATCATAGAACAGAGTATAGAATGACAGTCCAGTCTCTGCCCCAACTTCGTCGACTTTGAAAAGGCCTTCTACAGCGTCGACCGAGAAGCGATTTGTCAACTGCTTGAACACTACGGAGTGCCACAAATCTTTATCAAGCTTATTTAACAGCTATATGTAGACGCCACATGCCAAGTGATATACAATGGGAAGCTCAGCGACGCCTTTGGAGTGAAGACAGGAGTAAGACAAGACTGTCTGATATCACTGATGATCTTCCTGATTGTGGTAGACTGGATCATGCAACAAACAGTGAGGAGCGAGAAGAGGGGGATACGTTAGCTGGCCCGATGAAAAGACCCTACATTATTTGGATTTCGCCGATGATTTATGTTTAACGCCGCACAAACTCGAAGATCTACGGTCGAAAACTAACAAGTTGACGGAGGAGGCAGATCAGTGAGGACGGGACTTCCTTCAAGTGAATGTAGAAAAGACGCAGGTCATGAAGATACTCAACCAACACCAGCATCAACAACAAGAGGCGCCAGTCATCATTAACGGGAGAAATCTGAGGGAAGTAGGCTTTTCCACCTATCTAGGCAGCACTGTTTCAACTACAGGTGACACAGATGAGGATGTCAAAGTCAGGATCGGAAAAGCAAGACAGGCGTTCATTAACCTGAAATCAGTGAGGAAATCTACTGCAATCGGCACAAAGAAGAAGATCCGGATTTTCAATACCAACGTGAAATCAGTGCTCCTGTATGGTTGAGCTACTTGGCGCGTTACGAAAGGGATTTCCAACAAACTACAGACATTCATCAACAACTGCCCACGCTGGCTGGTTACTGAAGATCAGATGGCCAGAATAATAAGAATAAGGAACAAGGAACTCTGGCTGGCTGGCTGGCTTGCAACGAACCAACCAAGAAGCTATCACTCAAAAAATATGCGGAAGGAAGTGGAGTTGGATTGGGCATGCACGAAGAAGACCATTCGGAGACATCATGCTTCAGTCCCTCGAGTGGAACGTAAAGGGGAAACGACGAGTTGGGTATCCGAGGGTGACATGGAGAAGATCATGTGAGTAAGAAATGAAAGCTTCTGGGCAGTCGTGGAGCCAGGTTCAAGAGACTACAAAGAAGAGAATGCAATGGAGACGTGCTACTGAAGCCCTATGTTTCACTAGGAACTCAAGGGACAAGTAATAATAATAATAATAATAATAATAATAATAATAGTAATAAGCACTTGAATAAAATCACTTTGAATTCATTAAAAAGCAGTCTCACTTAGCCCTTGTACTGATTTACTATTGTTACTCCTCATACCTGGGTAATATTTTTATAATTACCATGTTGATTCTGGCGACAAAACGTTTAAAAAAGGAGACTACACAGCAATTGTAATCAAGGTGTGTACAATTGTTGGTATCACGTAAGAGTAGCAACTATCATCGACCAAAAATATATACCATTTACTTGTTTGATTTTCATGCATTGATTAATTCTTTATTTCAGGAGGATATTTCTGAACCTTTGCACATTCAAGAATTAGATACAAGCAATGGCGTACTATTTCCTTTCTATGATTCAGATACCAATTTAATATATCTTTGTGGGAAAGTAAGCTATAATCTCGTTTTTCGTATTATATTGATTGTGATTGGTCGACATTGACCAAAACATCGAAGTATTTATCTGTTACTATTATTATCTATTTATTGATATGCTTGTATTTCTCCGTTGTTTTACTGGATGGAATTGTTCGACTTCTATTGGCATACGGGCTTTAATGCGGATGCCTCGATATTGCCCGCACGTTAGTTATGGTATTTACTTGGTTCTGGATTCCTCTTCTAGCCACAACCAAGTAAATTACCATTGTTATCATCAGTATTACCATCAACACCATTATCACTATTATTATTATTATTATTATTACCATTACTATTACTATTACTATCGATACTATTATCGTCATTATCGTCGTTACTATTGTTGCTATTATTATCACCAGCACTATTACTATTATCATCATCATTATTAATATTATTGTCATTATTATTATCACTGCCAAAATAATAATTGCTATTATCATCATCACAGATTCAAGTTTTCTCTTCATGCCTTACCTTTAATCGGTTATTCTCTCTAGGTATCTCGTAATTGGGCTTGATACGCAATCTATTGCGTAGGATTACCGATACATATTAATGAACATTTCTGAATAAGTGGCTTCGAAGTTTTTTTAAGCCTTTTCACTTCATTGGGATTTTACAAATATTTCCAGTATGAACCGTCTACCGTAATGCTCAGTGCGTTTTAATCTGGCGTAGTGGTTCTTAGTCCTAATAAATTCACATGGCAGGAAAGCAGATTGGCAGTCTGATAGACTCTGACCCAGATATTCCTTAAGAATCAGTTATCTTTTCACGTGAAAACACCTGTCAACTATGCACTGATAAAGTATCAGTGGTCTATTATAGTTTTACTACACTTCATAACTTATAAATTCACCGAGTGAGCAATAAAACTTACAATGATTTTCAACGCATTACCGGATGGTCTTCGTTGGAAGCTGAAACATTTTGCACAAGCCTTGCGGGATAATAATGTATCCAGAAAATGTTTCTTTGTCAACCATACTTTAGTGGTGTAATAATCCTAACGTAATATAATTGGTCATATATTTAATATTTTTTTCAGTTACTAGTTTAAAAAGCAGATTAGTTAGGTCTCACAACTCAAGTATCTAAAAAACCCATAGGGTTTATTGTTTTGTTTACGTTTGTATTATACGAATATGAGTAGATTTTCAAGTCATAAAGCCCGTGAGTTGACGTGTGATGAAGCCAAGTGCTTATATAGAGAAATTTCTTTCGTCAGAAACTTATGCAAAAGGTAATGAATTTCGTAATATACTAGATTATGTTGTGGAGCTGTGGCACATTGGTCTAAGCACCCTACTTCCAACCAGTAGGTCATATTTTGGAGACCTGCACCACTTACGGAGTTCTGGTCGGTGTGACTCATCATGTACTGCTTAAACGTGCTGCATATGTTTGCTGAGTGCATTTCCATTGTGACATCCTCTTGATACCCATCTTGTACCCTGACTACCATGAAAAGTTGTCGGCAAATAAACTCTCCTCTAGAATCCAAACACATCGTATTAAAGGAATTTCAGTGTATAATCAATTACTGGTCATACTGTTGCTATGTCCTCAAAATACGTTGTTCTAAAATAAGCATGTGTTTTCAAATACTTGACAAAGCAAGTGGCTCATCTAGAATAATTTTCTCGCACTTCCCTCTATTTGTAAGTGTATAGGAAGTAGCTGTAATAGATTTCTTGTAAAACTATTTTCATCTAAAATTTAGTATTGATTACCCATCATTATTTGGTTCTTTCTTTTTTCCCTTGAAAATATACGTGGAAATAAAAACGAAGTTAATTTATCTCGAGATAATTTTCTTATACATATTTGAACTAAACGGCAGAAAAATTTCATTTTCACACATTTCTCTGCTGTCTTAAGCTTTATGTCTTGATCGCATATCCTGTCGGTCATGTGCACCCAAATAAGGTATACAACGAGAATGTTTAATGTGGTTGGACTAAAAGCTTTGATGAAAACTTTGTTTTTGTAGCTGTTTTGTTTTTTTGCTGAGGGGTGGTAAAATTACTTCTTAGTAGCTAATTTTAGATTCTGCATATGATTCCTATGTGATTTAGGTGCTTCCAGTTATCTTTAAAGTGTTTTGTTTGTCTAAGTTTATTTACGTTGAATATCGGTTCTGAAACATTGTTTTTTACCTTTTCATTTTTAAATACTGCATTCTCAGTGAAACTGTTTTTATCCTTACCTTGTAAAAATTTGGATTCCCCATTTGCTTACTGAACATTCACTATGAGTACTACAAGCTCCATGGCCGCATCTGTGCTCACGTGTACGTGTACATGGTTATTTTCCAGGAAAAATTGGTGGGATCTAGTTTTCGTAAGAGCACTGACAATTTTACCCATCATACTTTTCTACTTGCCAACAGCGGCCGCAACCATAAAACTCTTCTCAATCTTTTTGTGATGACATGGTCTGCTGGATATTGTTCTTTCCTGTATTTAACCCCACTCTACATCACAAAAGTTTAAAAACTACTACAACCATCATGCAATCAGTTACATCATAAGTCATTTAACGACCAATTAGAATGCTTTTTTGGCATATTTTAAGAGAGACCTTAGCAACCCCAAGTGGGGGAGGGGTGGACGTCAATGGTTGTGACTCAATAACGGTGCAAAAGAATACGAAGTTGACAGACAATGGTAAGAGCACAGTCGTTTCAGTTCAGAACAACTCATTGTTGTGGTTGCGTAAACGCTTTCAGAACACCTATCAGTCGAAAGCTAATAATTCGTGGCGGAAACATCCGCATTCACCTGGATTTTATCTAAAAGTCACTAAGTATTTCAGTGGCGTCGCATAAGGATCGCGATGCATGCGTCCCCACCTGCTTACTTTTGTTCGAAGTAAACGGAGAATGAGTTCTACCGACATTTATACAAGCTAGAAAAGTTTGAATACGTGGTTGAAGTCTCACTGCATGATTTCATTACTCAAGTAGGTAAAGTAAACCAGTCTGAAAGATATCTGGGTGGTGGTTTTGAATTCGTAGGTCAGTGAAGAGAAAGTTATTGTTGTCGTTTGCAGGGGTGTTCAGACACTACTTATTTGTTTGCAGCACAAACTCCAGATATAAAGTGTCATTGACTACTTGACACGTTATGATAGCATTCATAATAATTTTTACCATGAGGTAGTTGTGTCGAATGTTGATACTTTCTTCACTTTTACTTATGAAATCAATGTAGCGCCTGGCACACAATTGCATCGGTTCAAGTTGCTATATTTCACAGTAGTACACAAGGAACAGGTGGATAGAAAAGGAATGGTATCAGTAGACAAAGTTGTGTGAGTGAATGGTGAATTTGAGTATGAAGGCTAGTGGAGACATTTAAGCTTTAGAAGACGTGAGAGAGTGGACAAATGTGCGCTACTGTGACCGATTTCCATCCATGTCACCAAGAGTTTGTAACTGGTGATGGATATCACCTTGGTTCACAACCTCATCGACCAACTTGTCTGTCTTGGCCAGTACCCTCCGCTTGGACTTGACATTGCTTACAAGGCGGTTCCACGACACACGAGCAGTGCTATGAGGACACTGGTGATCAAAACCTGCAACAGCTTCGTATCTTATACTTTTAATGACCATGTTTCTCAACCGTGTAAGGAAACAGAACAGACTTCAGTGAAGTATACTCGCCTTATGACAGGTAGTTGAAAATTTCGCCAGTCGGCGCCATAGATGACTCAAGTTTTAAGTCCGAAACCGGCCTTCCGTATCCAAGCTGAGACTTCAGCAGCCAGCACGTTCGAGCTGATGCAACTGCTTATGTATGTGAAGTAGTCGACACATCCCACCACTTCACTCCCTATCATTAAACAGGAGTACTTGCAACAGACCAGTTCTGGAGCATCATCTTGACAGGTGCGAAACGTATACCAATTATATTCAGATTTCTTTTGAAGGTAGCGTCTTCGCCTATCAAGACAATGTCGTTGCGTGCTCGAAGTCAATCAGATGACCTTCAGGTTATGTCTGTAACGAACAGTGACAGCGGGTTTTCCTCTCGGACACTACTAGTTGTCGTCAATCGTGATTTCAACTCTCCGTTAGGCCTAACACAGCTACGTGAGTTCGAGTAGAGAGCTTTGACTAGCTTCGTGTTCTTGCTTGATGCTCCTTTCATAGTCAAACACCGCCACCTCACCGTCGGTGGAGTTGAATGCCGCCTCCAGGTGAAGAAATATAGCAAGTGTCAGCAGCCGGTAAGTATGCCTGTTTGAGGATGAAATCTGATCGATGCACATTCGTCCAGGTCCTAAATCTGCCTGATTTTCTCGCGTTTGCTGTTTTCGAGCTTAAGTTAGGTGTCAGATAACAATTGATCGGAGAGTCTTGGACGTGATTTTAGTGAGACTGATTATCTTGTTTGCCACAGGAAGACTTCTCTCACTTATACAGTGGGATGATCAGAAAAGTGAACCATTCTAACGTAACCACTTACGATTCCCATCAAATCGAATCCACTCAGCAACTTTGTGTTCATTCATGCACTAGGGATTGAACCACACCTATTGTGTGAGGGCTGATGATACTGAAAGCAAGAATACAGGTATGAAGGAAGATATGTTTATTGTCAACAAGTGGGACAGTAGTTAAATATGGTACACCTTGCACTAAAACCCCCATTTTTAAAATGTGCTTCATTTCCTCTTCTGCTTCTTGATTTGCTTTTCATACGCCTTCCTTGTCGCTTGCGTTTCTCTTGGCGGAATCCTTACCCATTGCTGGTAACTCCCTATGATTTCTGCCACCCTCTCAACATATACTACTTATATCCATTCTTATCCGCAACAACCTACAATACCACCTTCGCAAACCTCAGTAGGTTGGGCGTAGGGCTAGCAACCCTACCCCGGAAAACAAATCAACCGCTACAGAAACTTCAAAGCACAAACAAAATATTAAAAATAAAAACAAAATTATTCCTCGCT